CCTCCCATACTTCAGAAGTTTGTGCTCAGTAAAAAAGAACATACAAGGCATGTAGATTGAGCCAGATTATTTGAAGCTGTAAACATCTACAAAAAATACTTTCAGAGATGACATACTAGATGAAAGGAATGCAGACTGCAATCTTCTAGCCAGCACATTCCCACATTCCAGAAATGCATTATCTTGTTCAGCAGTGCCTCTGTGGGATCTCCCTGGCTGTTATTTGCAACAAACGGAGAAGTTATTCTTCTTTCAATATGGCATGTTAAAAATCACAGAGCATGTTGCCACAGCTTTTACTACCAGAGATGCAAAGCTGGAGTCAAAAGTGCAATGAAGGAACTGTAGTCTCAGGGGCAAACCCAACCTTTTAGACAGAATAAGCTGAATTCATAATAAAATGCTAGATTGGCAGAAACGCTGCAACCAGAAGAAACTGAAAACTCTCTTCACAGCTGGGGGCGCAAACACAACACAATATCAAAAACTAATCAGTTTTGCTATTTTCATTTCAATTTCAAAAACATATAAGAATCAGAGTAGTTACTGCCCGAGGCTTTTAAGAATAAAAACAAAATTATTCATAGTTTGTCACCATGGCCTAGAATATCCTGTCAATGGTTATACAGGTGAACTTGTACTCCTCTACCAATTATTTCTATGTTGTTTAGTAAACACATGCTGCTTTCTGTATTTCTGTCATGTTCAGAACAGTTACAAATGAGTTCGGCAAAAATAAACTATAGTAAAAATCACTCTTGAGTGATGTGAAGAACCTTCCTTTGTGATTTCAACTCACAGCTAACTTAAGGTGACCCCATAAAACAAGAGACAACCAGAGGTGGTTTGCTACTGTCTGCCTCTATGTAGCAATCCTAAACTTCCTAGGTGGTCTCCCATCCTTGGTGGGCTACCATTCAAGTACCAACCAGTGCTGCTTCTAAGCTGTGGAGCAAAAATTCTACTTTGTGAGCTAACTGGCATTAAAGTTGTGAGAGAGCGATTTGGCTACGATATAAATTAGTTTGCTCTGGAGCCATCCTTCCTGAGTTAAGACCAAAATGTGTGAGCCAGAGGCTAAAAAACTGTGAGCTAGCTCACACTAACTCAGCTTAGAGGGAACACTGCCAACCAGTACTTAGCTTTTGAGCCTGGGCTGCCCTGGGCTACTCAAATCACAGCATAAAGAACCTTAGTTTCAGTTAATTGGCAAGTATACACACACTACAGATCTGCTGTGGTAATATCAATGATACTGTAATTCCTAACATTTCCATTAAACTTCAACTATTTTCCTAGTAGCCTTAAAAAAAAACTAGATAAGGAATATATGGTCCACCCAGTAAATTGTACATTTAACGTCTCTTTCCACTTGTCCTAATAATTCTTCACTTCATACATTGATAAAATATTGAGCAGCAGCAATTAAAAAAAAAGATGCAAGAAAGAGCAGTCCATTTTTTAAAAAAGTATTTATACACAAACCCCAAATGAAGTAATTGATTGTGTTTGCCACAGCTGGCTGATCACAGCTTGGCATGTTTCAGGTACAGTTTATGGTGACTGATGGGCACAAAAGCCAAACATACAAACTGCTTTCCTTTGATAGGTTCAAAACAGAAGCTCTAGTTTTAAAAGTCATTTATACAGTACCATGTAAGTAAAAAAGTTTAATACCTTAGAGCGGTATGGGCTGGGGATTCCCCAGGGAGCTGTGGAGTTATTGCAAAGGATCCGTGAATCCATCCAGCATGGGCAAATTTCTCCCACCTGTGCCATCTCCCTCAGCTCACCTCCATGGTGGCCATAGCACCCCCCACCCCATATCTGTGCTGGGCCAGCTAACAGATAGGCTCCATTTACCAGCCAGCTTGCTACAGTACAGCCATACCTCCCCAACTAGGTCCACCTGCTCCAAACCCCCAACTACTAGGCAGCAGGATGGGGGGAGCAGGCAAATATCCATTGATCGTGCCTGGATTCAGCATAGCCTAACAATTTTTTCCACAAGGAGCATTTTGTATTTCTTTTATTCACTATTTGTGTTAGATTCGGATCCCTGTGAGCTCCTTCGGGAGGAGAGTTAAAATCAAAATATATAAGGATCTAGTCCATGGGGTCGCGAAGAGTCGGACTTGACTGTGCGACTGAACAACAAATTGTCTGTCAAGGACTGAAAGCTCACAGTGCATCCAAACAACTTCCCATATGTAGAGACTAATTGCTAATTGTGTTAAGAAAACTCCAAACTATATAAAAACATATGAAGCTTTCTTATGCCATGTCAAGTCACTGGTCTGTACTGTCTATGTTCCAATCCGAGCAAAAGCTGCAAAACTGTACCAGCCACCTCATTAAATGACTCAGTATAATGAATAAGCAAATATAGCTACTTTAGACTGAATAAGTAATATGACTCATAGAGATGTGAAGGCCCGGAAAAATTCGGGGGGGAAACGGGTTTTTTTCCTTTTTTTCCTGAAGACTTTTTGTTTTTTTCCGAAAAATTGAAAAAAGAAAAAAGAAAAAAACTGATCATGGAACGTTTTATTTTAACATGATGAATAAAATATTTTAAGACAAGGTGTTCAAATATTTTCCAAATAATTTCTAAAATATATATATATATGGCATCAGATTGATCTAATTTCTGTGCACTGAGGACAAGCAAGTCCTAGGTTACAAACTGAACTCTCCAATGCAAGAACAAGATGCATTTCTTCCTTTAGGAGGTGTGATTGTCAGAAGAAAATAAAAAAGTTTCAGTTTTGTTTTTGCATGTGGGTGGGTATTCTGTTTGTAATAATTGTTTGGATACACTATATTTTTAATATGCTAGTTGTAATAATTTCATGCCAAGTAAAAATGTCCATAGTCATTCCTAAAGTAACAGAATGACTTTCAATCTAGAAAAGACAAAAGAAATGCTAATGTAGCATTTTTTTTTTCAATTTTTCCGAAAATTTCCATTCCCCCCCAAAAAAAACTTGGAAAAAAACTTCAAAATTTCCAGAAATTTTACATCTCTACTCATATATACATGTAGTATTACTGTTTTTCAAATGTACGTAGATGCTGTTGTGACTAATAAAATACAACTTCATTTAAATCATTACTGAATTCATAATAGCTTTTGTCATTATGTATATTCTCAGTCAACGGATACTAATACTGTAACTACTATTATATGGGGTCTGCGAAATTTTCTTGCCCTGACCTGGATAGCCCAGGCAAGCCCAATCTCGTCAGATCTCGGATGCTAAGCAGAGCCGACCCTGGCAAGTATTTGGATGGGAGACCTCCCAAGAATACCAGAGCCAGGAGCAATGCTCCCTCTAAGCTGTGGAGTCGTATGTGCAAAAATTCTACTTTATGAGCTACTGGCATTAAAGTTGTGAGCGAGCAATTTAGCTACAGCATAAATTATTTTGCTGTGGAGCCCTCCTTCCTGAGCTAAGACAAAAATGTGTGAGCTGGAAGCTAAAAAACTGTGAGCTAGCTCACACTAACTCAGCTTAGAGGTAATAATGGCCAGGAGGCAGATTCTGGCTTTCAAGCCTCTTTTCTGATCGTCCTTCATGCCCCAGTAGGAGTCGCCAGAGGTCACCATGACTTCCAGGCACGAGTATACACACATACACACACACACACACAATGCAAAAATTCCCAAAACAGGATCTCTCTTACTTGAAAAGGTTGGGAACCACTGCCTTAGACACTATTGGGATTTTAAAAAACAAAAGCAAAGGTGGTATATCATATAATTTATTTTATTCTAATGATTCCATCTGGGACAACATCAGCAACCAGTCTGCCTTTGATTTATAGCTGTTTCTTAGCTTAATAGTTACACAGCATTTTGTTTGGGAAGATTTAACACATTTTGCTTTCATACCAAGGGTATAACCATATTCTGGTTCCCATCTGGATTCTCTGGAGATTCAAATGTTTTTGGATGATTGGCTTTCCTGTTTTGGACCTGGATATTGAACTTCTGCACACTCAACAAAAATCACAGTCCTGTTCATTGATCAACATTTGAGGACCTAAAGCCTTTACATCAGTCAGCTTCTGTAGTCTTGCAGCTAGGAAGGTATTGCTATCAAGCAAAACTTCCCAACAAGTGCAAGAAATCTGAATGTGTTAACACTGGGGCAAGTTGTCTTGAGTGGTATGAACTAAACTTCACTTCATCCACTAACTGGGGGGCACCAACTGTGTTTCTCTCAAGCACACAGATCCCTCAAAGGTTCGAACCAATCAGACTTGAATACAGGATCTAAATTTAAATCTTGATTTCTACTTGTATGTTCTACTAGTATATTTGATTTGATCTACTAGTATATTGGATTTTATGCATGGGCTTTCGCCCCTTGTAAGCCGCCCTGAGCCCGTTTGCGGGGAGGGCGGTGTAAAAATGCCTAAATAAATAAATAAAACAGAGTTGAGACAAACCCTTCTCTGTAGAGCGCACTGAAGCTATAATGTAAACCTGGGAGTCATAAGTCCCAAAGTGAGAGATGAACTTTGTTCTACCCAGAGGTTTAAGTCACGTTCTCCAGGGAAAGGAAGAGGTCTTCTACTCACTGTACTCCGGCAAGATGGGATATAAATTGAAAGTAAATAAATCTGGGACAAAAATGTAAGCAACATTTCCCTCCGTTTCTTAAATGACCTGGGTCAAAAGAAATGGCAGCATTCAACTCTTCAATCTAATGAGAAATATCTAAGAAGCTTCTTGCAGCCTTTCCCAAAGTCCTGCCTTAAAGTAAGAAATAAAGCCCTGATGCTGACAAAACCTGCTTCAAGTGCTGCAAATGAGGGTTGGAGAGAGATTAAAAATGATAATTTTGTGCTCAGTAACATGATCAACAAGACCTCATTATTAAATGACACCACAGGGAGTCAAAATGTTTCACATTTCTCAGCATAAGCAATAAAAAGGCCATAAGAATTCTGACTGTCATGGCAGTTTATTTCAAAGTACAAAGATAGTTTACCTTTTATTAATGGGCTTTTCATCTTTCTCATATGGCCGAATGAACCATTTTCCAATCCTCACAAAGTTCTTATCCATCAGGCATCTGAAAACAAATCACAATAGCACTTATTCAGCAACTGCTGAAAATATTAAGACTCAACAGCAAACAGTCTCCACTGTGTCAAGCTTGTATATTTCACATGTGGAACCCTTCATAATTTTGTCAGTTCTGCATTTACATGAATATCAGTATCTCTTGCCTGGCCTTTCTTATTAGCCATCCCCCTCATGAAACTCATTGCGTGATATCCTCCTATCAGCTTCTAACACTGCAATCCCAAATGAATGAATGAACCTGGAGCTACTTCATACTGATTGCAACAGAACTTCCTTTTCCAGGAAGTATGCATACTATCACAGCCTTGGTTGATGCAAAAATTATTAATCTGAGAAAACCAAATATTTAACCTTTTAAATGTGCACAAGAAACATCCTTTAGTTTACTCTCTGGCTGCCAAAACAAATAGAAAACAAATCATCATGTCAATTTGGTACTGCATCATTCAATATTAAGCAAATCGGATTTCTAGCATTAAATTCAGGAAACATGAGATACTGTGTCATTAAAGCCAATAATTCTTTGTTCCTAGAAGTGGTTATACTTTTAAAGATACAACAATGATGGCATTGATTAGGGGAGAAGACAGAAAAGCAGATATGTGCAAAAAACAGTTTACAATCAAAAGAGAAGCATGTTAGGACAAACCAAACTTCCCTAAGCAATTTACAAAAGACCCTTTTGCAGCCTTTCAGATGAAGGTGACTTCACACTTGAATGCTGAGAGCTTGTTCAAATCCATGATTGCCCAGGGATAGGATCCTGTCAAATTTTTGCCTACTGGAGACAACACTCCAGATGGGAACTGGGAGCCATTTTATTTATAGTTAGATTTGAGCCCATATTTATAAACCACCTTGCACAAAAAAAGGTTCCCACGGTGGCTTACAATAGGGCAAATGAACATAAGTAAAATCTGACTAGTTTTAAAAACTTTTGATTCAGTAAGGAACCTAAACAAAAATAGTGATGGCCAAACAAACAGACCAGAATAAGCAGACAAACAGCAAGAATGGCTTGCTACACCCAATCTGTTTAGGTGCAACAATAAGACAAACAAAAGGACTCAACTTTTCTTTCCTCAAAATAGATGAGACACTGTGCATGCTGAACTTCCAAGAGGGAACTTCAAACATAAACAAATAGATGACTGACAGACAGACAGATAGGCAGACAGAGAGAGAGAGAGAATGAGAGAGAATGAGAATGAATCTACATGCTTTGGCTTGCGATCCTGAAAGAAGTGCCTTTCTGTATAGCATGCTTTGATGCAAATACAAAGGTGGGCAAATTATAGCCAAAGGAGCCACATCTAGCCTGCAGACATTTTCCATGCAGCCCCCACGCTGCTGATGGAGCATGTCCACTGGATTGTGGCATCCGCTGATAAGATTAAAAAAACTGTTAATGAGTGCCATTAGAAGTCATTAAACATAGCAGAGTGGGAAAGAAGAATACAACTGGGTATCTGCACACAATAGCCAGCAGTAAGGGAGGTGTACAGCATCTGACTTGCATTCAGATGGCCCCAGGTTCCATTCCCTGAAAGCTCCTGTTAAAAGAATCAGATGGTGTGAAAGACCCTCTGAAGAAGGAGGAGGAGATTGGACTTATACCCTGCCCTTCACTACCCAAATGAGTCTCAGAGCACTTTACAATCTCCTTTTCCTTCCCCTCTCCACAACAGACACAAGGTGGGGCTGAGAGAGCTCTTTTGAAAACTGCTTGTGAAAGAACAGCTTGGGTAACTGACCCAAGGTCACACCAGCAGCTGCATGTGGAGAAGAGGGGAATCAAACTCAGTTCTCCCAGATTAAAGTCCGCACTCCTAAGCACTACACCAAACTAGCTCTCCTGGAGATCTTCTAGTCAGAGCAGACAATACTGACCTTGATAGAATAAAGGTCTGATTCAGTATAAAACAGCTTCATATGTGTGCCTTTGGGGCTCCCAAAAACCACCAGCTTGCCTGAATGTAAACATGGGTGAGCCAGATGTGACTTGGAACTGCCAGTGCTGCAACAAAAACAGCTGCTTATCAGATTTTGCACCTAAATGCTACTGAGAATCTGAGTTACAATACTTACCAGCAGCAACTTTATTATTTAATGTTTTGAGTGAGGGGCCATGGCTCAGTGTAAGAGCCTCTGCTTTACATGCAGAAGGCTGCAGGTTCAATTTCTGGCATCTCCAGTTAAAAGGATCAGCTAGTAGGTGATGGGAAAAGCCCTCAGCCCTCTGAGACCCTGGAGAGCTGTTGCCAGCCTGAGTAGGCATTACTGACTTGGATGGACTGATAGCCTGACTCCGTATAAGGCAGCTTCCTGTGTAGCATCCAGAAGGTCCCGGGTTCATTCCCCAGGATCGCCAGTTAAAATGATCAGGCAGTAGGAGATGTGAAAGACTTCTAGCTGAGATTCTGGAAAGCTGCTCCTAGTCTGAGTAGACAATGAATATGATGGACCAAGGGGTCCAATTCAGTATAAGGCAGTTTCAGGTGCAATGCCCACAGCTGGTATCAAATTTAACAACCCTACAGAAACATGGTCAAAATAAGTCTAAACTAGAAGAGACTGGCAGACTAATGTGCCAATTTAGGTCGAACAAATCAAGAACCTGAAGACAGGAGTACAATATTATGAAGAATCCGCAGCACTATAGAATAGCTCCAGAACAGGAAATAACAGAGCAAGTTGTAGCCATGGTCTTTACATGGTAGGTGTATACTCCTGCTTATGAGCACAAGAAGAATAGCCCATTCATCAGAAAATGCAACTGGCATAAAAATCTGTTGGGATTCTTTGATTCAGGGTCGATAGTCGTATTGCAAACACAAGAGCCACACTTAGTAAAAGAAAAATATCTTTACTATAAAACAAAATAAAACATGGGTATGGTACTTTGGATAAAAGAAATAAAATAAAAGTTACATGCTTGCAGTTACTCTCAGTAATAAATGTTAACAGCTGCATCTTTCTATCTCTCTTGGCTTCTAGAAGGGAACTAACTCTTTGGTTTACACAAAGGGCCATAAACCTTGTGAACACATTGCTAGATCAAAGCATTTCCACAAACAAGTTGTTAGTTGACCAATACAAAGGTTACAGGTCACTTCATTAGGATAAACAACTTCCACAAACTTTCCCTGTAACGTAACATCCTGTTTGCTAACAAACAACATTTAACTCTGTAATGGCTGAAGTATAAGGAACTTGCAATTCCAACAAAAGCTGATTCTAATGAGAAGGACAACAAAACTGGCTTTGCCATCAGAATATGTTTTCTAGAGACATGTTCCAAAGGCAAAAATCACAAAACACACATACCACACATACAACAAAAAGGCAAAAACAGCAGCAAAGTTCCCTCCCCTCAGTCTTGTTGTGTCCCTCAGGGAACTGCAGCAACATCCCAGACACAAGGAGCCCCAAAAGGAATGTAGTTTCCCCAAGCCCATTCATTGAAGAACAACAGTTCAGAGAGTTTCTCTGATTCTTGGGATTCTGCTGCTGCATTTTTCTAGGCTCCTAAACTGTGACATCAACGGGAAGAAAGACTCCACGACTACAAATACATGGTATGTTTAGGAATAATGAAAGGTGCTATGGTAAAGTTACTTATTGCTATGCAAGCTCTACCCTGACCTGTACAGTCCAGACTAGCCCCATCTTGTCAGATCTTGGAAGCAAAGCAGGGTTGGCCCTAGTTAGTACTTGGATGGGAGACTAACAAGGAAGTCAAGGGTTGCTACACAAACACAGGCAATGGCAAACCAGCTCTGTTCGCATTCTTGCCTTGAAAACCCTACAGGGTTGCCTTAATTAATTAATTCACAGTCGGAAGCGACTTTACAGCACTTACAGGCACGCACACACACACACAAAAAAACCAAACCCCTATATAGTGGAACATGTTTGTTTAAACGCAACTTCCACTGAAATCTGTGACTTTATTTCCAAGAAAAAATGCTCAGAATTCAGGCAGCCATTGACAGTGACGTAAATCATTCTGTCAAGTCCTTCCCTGGGTGGAATTAAAACATGCATCCAAACTGCCAATCAGAATGCAATCTCAAGGTTCCCAATTGAATTAAACAAAACACACTGCAATTTTTTCCACTTTCACCTGTGCTAACAAAAAATGCACTTTGAGAATGGACCACTGAACACTTACTGTGAAGTGTCCTTCTCCTCTGAGGAAAGGAGGGCATCTTGGTTCCCTCCCTCCTTTCCCACCCTCCTTTCACGGAGACAAGAACTAGATTTTATCTCTTCCTGTCTGTGATGGGAGTCACAGAGACCACTGGCCCTCTTGACCAAAGTGATCACAACTAAAAACACTGTCTTGAAAGTAAGAAGGTGGTGATCAGTAGTTGCTAGGGTCAGGTTCCGCCCAGGAACAAGGGGCTTCTGAGGAGCGTGGAGCAACAACATGCCTCTGAGGAGCAATCTGGCAGTCCAGTGTGAAAACAAAGTGCTGCCATCAATTAGGCAAGATGGCAGCTAAATAAACTTTCAGGAATGAGAATCCCAGTCCGAACTCCTGCAAGGAAACTAGATACAACAGAACAGCCAATGAGGCTGTCTTCAGGTCTATCTGTCCAGAGGCCACGTAGAGGGGGAAACGGGTCCACTTCACCTGATGGGTCCAGCGAATGGAAGGCTTTCTAGCATTCAGTAGTATATGTGATGGACCCATGGTGAAAACACTAGGGCACTTTTCTCCACGTTGTCAGTTTGAAGACGCCAAGGTTGTGGTGGAGAACCCTGCCCTGCTGCTGCGACAGCAGATCCAGAGCCAGAGAGAACCGCAGGTATGTATTGTTGGGTAGATTTAGAAGATGCTGAAACCAAGGTTGCCAGGGCCACCAAGGAGTCACCAAAATGCAGTGGGTCTGATCATGGATGATCTTCGGAACCACTCACTGTATCACAGGATACAGGAGGGGGGGGGGGGAAATAATCTATCTGTTGAACGATGTAAGA